CCATAGGTATGACATCGTTGGCATCGCAAGTGCGTTGGGTTTCTCGCCGATCGAAGAGAAGCTGGACTGCCTTCGCATTGGTGTCCGTCTGGTGAACAGCGGTGTAAAGACGGGCGCGCAGTTTGGAAAGCCGGATGCCGGGATCGGATGCCATCGTGAGCTGCATCCGGAATGTATTCAGTAGGGACCTCCCCAAATTCATGAAGCGATCGGTGGGATCCTGCCCGCCTTCCAGCACGCCGATCCACTCGACCAAATTTTCAAAGACAAGCTTAACCTGCTCGTCGTCCTGTTGCCAGCATTGGTATGCGCACCGGAGGTCGAAAACGACTCCGGAGGCGCCCTCATTCCATATACGCGTGGGCCGCGTGGTGACGCCAAATGCGCAGAAACCGCGGTCCTCTTCCATAGGTGATTGGGCTTCCAGGGGAGAAGTGCGGGAAGGCAACGGCGTGGAAGGGTGGAAATGTGGTCTCCCAACGTTGCCGTGAGGGGGTCTGTAAGCCGCCGAACTTTGTCGGACGCGCTGCTAGGCACGCTTCCAGCCATCAAGATATCCGTTTGATGCGGTAGTGTAGATACGCCATCGTTGGCAACGTGTCGAGTAGCGGGGGCCTCGTCCCGCCCCGCCGTCTCCGCATCCCGCGCGGGTTGTTGTGCATTATGGCGTGCCTCCCGTTCCTGGAGTTGACCCGTGAGCCTTCCCAAGTTGAATTCGCGCTCCCGTAATAGGGCGTGAGCGGCCTCCAACTGCTGTTGTAGTTCTAGGAACTGGTTGCCGGCCCCGGCGATATTGGATTCCCTTACCGATAGGTTAATATCCGCCTCCTCAACCTGCGAGTTAAGCTGATCATTCCGATTCTGCACGTCCGCGACGGCGTTAGCGTAATCAAAATTCAGGCGCTCCTTTCAGCAGTGATGAGCCCTTGTTGGTGCCCCAACTCCCGGGCTGCCCCCATAGCGGGCAGGAGCGCTTGTGTCTCGAAATTAGGGATCTGAGGCGCCCGGAGATTCGCAATATTTCCAATAAGAGTAGAATCCTGCCATGCTTTAGAGATAGGTCCATGGAACAAGCATAACCCTGTCGATGATGCGGCCACAGTTAACGTCTCGTCCGACATCTGGTTACCATTAATGGACGTCATCTGCACCTGGGTCTCGCCACATTGGCACACCATGTCCCAGAGACGGGCACCAATATCACACCACTCGGAGGGTGTGTAGGGAACCAAAGCCATTTCCTTAAACTTACCTGGCTGTCTCTGTAAAAAATAAAAACAAAATACTCTGGCCCCTATCGGTTCCATGCCCCTACAAAGTCGCGTTCTTCCCAAAAGATTCATACGGTAGAGAGTATCATAAAGAATGTCTTCATTTATCAGGATATACATAGATTAATTAAGTCAGCCAGCTCTCCCGCGAGCATTCTTTTCACAAGCTCCTTGGGAAGGGCGGAAGGCGCGCCGCCGCTTCAGAAGGCTCGGTCGCGTTCCCGAAAAAAAATTCCCAACAAAAAAAAATAGGGAGACAATACGCGCGTGGGCAGCGGGCGAGCGACATCCATCAAAGTCGGTCGAACTCCTCTTTGGCGACAATGTGCGTGCGCGGGCGGCGCGGGAACGGGCCAAGGGTTTCGAAATCCGCCAGCGCTTCGCCGAGCCGGTCGGAGCGGCTCGCTTCGGCCTCCTCCGCTGGATCCCCGGGTGCCGTTGCGGACTTCGCCTCCGTGATCGCGGGAGGCGCCGTTGCTGCCGTGAGGGCCGTCGCCTTTTCCGGTGTGGCCACAGAATGGCCATGTTGTTCGCTTTCGTTCCCCACGCTGTATGAGCCATTCGTCGGGCTATTCCCGCTGCCGGCGTGGAAAGTAGGATCCGAATTCCGAGCGGTACCGGCTTCTTGCGGCGTGATGATGATCGAGACTGGAGGCGCGCTCCGCTCCGACAACGTGCTCGCACCGCGCGTCGAAGCGAATGGATTTTGAACTTCTTCTGGTGTCGGACTGGGTTCCACCAGAGCTTCCATTTTCGAGGGCTTTTCTTCAGAAGGTCGTTTTGAGGGAGCAGACTCATTTTTTGTGCCGGCCTCCAGTGCTTGGCGTGTCGCCGCCTCCCTTTCTCCGCGTTCTACACGGTCAGTTGAAAAACGCATCTCTCTATTTCGCCATTGCCAGTGTTGCAGCTGCTCTTCCAACGCCTCCGTATTCGGTGCTGAATTTGGGATTCCTGTATGAGATTCTTTTTGGGTCGCCAATACGCTCATGTTGGGAACTTTTTTCGTAGTAGTTTCCTTACCGAGTTTAAGAACCGGATCGCGGGGAAGAGCCACCAGCTGTCGGGATGATGGAGTTTGTCGTTTTAAATAGTTTTCCAAGAGCCGTTGCTCACCCTCTGTGATGGCAGAAAAGGAATGTGGCGAGGCATAAGGAAAATTCCTGCGAGACATTGGGCCGAGCTCCCGTCTTTGAGACTGGTGATGCGGATACGCCTGCGTTTGGATGGGAGTGGCAAACTGCTGTGGTACTTTGGTTGTTGTCCATGCTGCCTGGGAAGAAAATACAGGGGACTGTGGTGTCGTATTTGTAACTGGCCGAGGCGCAGTTTGCCTGCTGGCGGTCGGCTCACGACGGCGCAGCAGCTCCAGCAAACTCACTCCCTTTTCCGCCGACATAATCATGCGATCCATTTCGCGTTGCACGCTGTAATAAAGAAAGACATATTGATCTTTTCGCTGCACCATCCCAGTACGAGATAATTTCAAAATATGCACAATCCTCTTTATGTCAATATCTTTCCGTTCAAGCTGAAATTGAGCGAGGGCCACGTGCAGAGCAATAAACACACCTGTACGACCAATGCCGCCGGAACAATGCACAACAATAGGAGTCTGCACGCTGAGCTCCGACTTTCCCATGGTTTGAATGATCTCCATAAGCGGTGCACTGGTGTCAGGGATGCCCTGATCCGGCCAGCCAATATATTGCATGTGGTATACCTGATGCTCTTCACCATTTGCATTGCGTAAAATAAAAGAGCGAAAAACCAAGTCCGAGAGACGCTTCTCACTTATTGAACTGATTTGCAAGATTCCAATGTCCAATACTCCATTTTCTTTAGGCCAGTACATCTCACTCTTTGCTTTTCCATCCTCCACCTCCCCACATAGCATCACAACAAAAACAACGTCATTTTCAAACACCATCCGCCAAAAATCAAAAATGGTGTTTTGAAGGGGAGCCTGCGTTGCGATGTAGGTGAAAGGCACATTAAACAATGCTCGACCATCCACGTAGTTTGCGTTGATGTACGATTCTTGATTCTCCTCCACCAACGATCGAAGACGCACGCGCGTTCCTTCATTTGCTCGCACCTCGGTAAAGCGGTTTTTGGCAACACTCGTCGCAAGTGAGGCGGTGTAGAACTCATCCACGTTACTCCGCACGCGGTGATCCACAGCTCGCAGTTCATCCATTTCCTCATCAAAACCATCCCTGTTGTTGCCCGGATGCCGTTTAGAAAGCTGACGAAGCTGCTCGAGAAACACCGTGGCGATCTTCCGCTGGTCTCGACTCATGGTGGGCGATGTGCTGGACGATAGCCCAGGGAAAATGTTTCTCTAAAATATTTACAGACAAAGACAGACCGATATGTGTAGATAGTTATTTTTACTACAGTGACCCAATTCCCACACCTGTCTGCAGGGAATTCGCCTGGGGAAGAGGGAAATAAATAAGTCACACTAAAAGAAAAGAGACAAAAATAGGGTGAGGAGAGTGAGATTGAAGGAAAAGAAAAGGGTCAGGAACCCTGACGCCAACACCTCCCACTCAAACGCCGGAGGCGCCTCTTCTTGCGGTATTCGCCCGGCTTGTCGTTCAAAAAACAACAAAAACACTTTTTGTGTTGTTGCTCAAATTCTTTTTCATTATTTCCATTTCTTTTTTTTCTTTTTTTTTTTTTTTTTCTCACTTCTCTTCTCGCTTCTCCTTTTTAGACTGTGTACGTTTTTTTATAGTTTTGCGTGCGTGTGTGTGATATGCGGCGTGACTTCTACGTTGGAAAAGCAGAAGAAAAACGCCATTTTTTTTTTTCTTCTCAATTTGTGTTTATTTTTGCCGTGCCTGTTTGTTTCGTCTCGTTTTCTTCTTTGATCCCTACCGCCCTCCACCCCACAAAACCCCGGCGTGTGTCTGCATGCTCCCTGCGTGGGGCTGAGGACGGGTGGGCCACGCGAGCACAAACGATTAAGCCACAACAGGGCAGTCACGAACTTGCAATGGAGCAGCAATGCCATCGACAAGAGGATAAGCAAGAAAAGAAAAAAAAGAAAAAAAGTAAAATAACATGCAAAGATTAAGGGCAACGCTTTAATCCTCCTATTTTGTTTTTTTGATATATGTATACATAAATAAATAAATAAATAAATATTTATTTATTTATAAATGTGAATATAGCTGCTGCTATTATTGCCTCTTCTTTTTTCTACTTGTGTACATAACACCATTTTCCCCCATTTTTTTTTTTTTTTTTTTTTGCTTCTCGCCTCTTCTCAGTGTCAATTAATGCGCCCGTATGGCAAAGGGCACTTCAACAGAAAAGAAGTGCAAGAAGTCCAGAAGAGTGTTGCTCCTGCTCTCCATCCCTCAGTGAGTTCAAAGGAGTTATGTTGTGCCTGGGTAACACCCCGTGTCCCGTATTCCCGGAAAGGTGGAGGGCAAAAGAGAGTGGATGGTCACAGTCTGTCTCACGGTGCCCAAAAATTACAATTCAGTTGTAATTTGTCCAACAATCACATGCCAACAATAATAATAATAAGCAATAGTAATAATAATAATTTTAAAAAGTGCTTATGGCTCAATCCAAGACAACCGGACTCGTGGTGAGCTCACGAAGTGGTGGCCTTTTTGAAGGGCCCCCAGCAACTACCGGACTCCTCTCCGCGTGAAGGGCAACAGCGGAGTAAATGGGATGACAGGAACAACAAAATCAGGAAAAAAAAAAAACAGTTTGCAGTCTTGCCACCTTCCAGGAAGGCATTTTTGGAGGTATAAATCAACGGTTCGATAAAAACAACAACAAAAATAAAACTCAATTGGGAATTCACCAACATGCTCTATCGATTATTTGACCACTGCTGTTCACACATCCATTCCACAAGATTCTAGCAAATAAATACACCGAGCAATCCATTCTTTTCTTTTACGTTATATGTATCATTATTGCCTTTATCCTTGCCTTTTTTTTTTCTTTGCGTGATTTCGTGTGTGGTTTTGAACGCAACGTAACGAACCGGAAAAAGACACACAGCATAAAACTTTTTTTTTTTCTTCCTTTGTTATTATTTTTTTATTTCTTTCTTTTTGCAGCCTTTATTTTGGGTAATTTTTTTCATCCCTTCTTTAGCCTTTTTGAATTTATATGCAGATGCAAGAACGTCGCACGGATTGTGACCGGAAGGGGGCGTTGTTTGACGGGGACCGAACAACGACCAAAGGAATGAGTTTATTTATTTACTTTTTCCTTCTCTGCTGCCTCCCGTCCCTGTGTGTATACATGTGTGCCCGTACAAACATCAATTCCACATGTATACACGCACACCAGAGGCAGAGAGACAGAGATGTCCCTTGTAGTCTTATTCCCCCCTTTTGCCTCTTCGCCCGGACGGTTCATTATCAAAAACCGCAAAGCAAACAACACCAAAGAAAAAAAAAAAAAAAAAGTGGGCCACGCGTTGTAAATAACACAGATAAAGGAGATGTGAATTCCAAGAAATTTCAAAGAGCGGTCGTGTCTCACTGTGGCTTCGTGTTGGGAGTGTCTTTTGCTTCCGCAGTCGAAGAATCCTCCGCTTTGTCGCTCTGACCGACAATGTAGCCCATCTCAGCCCCCATTTCGAGGGTCTCAGCGGTGATTGTTGTTTTTGTCTCCATCATCTTTAGCTTGGCAAAGGCCTTTTTCCGGGCATATTCGCGTGAAACCTCCTCCGCCGCCAACGTGCGCCAGACACGATCCTCGCTGAGATCGCCAATGAAGGTGGTGTCACGGCCAAAGACAGCACTCCCCACCCAATTCACCAGCACATAAAGTTTATTCCTCCACGAGCCTAAGATGCTGAGGTATGCACTGCGCCAGAAAAACAGGGCCTTGAGACCGACAAAGTCAAATTTAGTCGGCACATTCAATTCTACAAGGGCCGCATTATCCCCCAGACTCACCATAGAGCCCAGACTCCTGTACTCAAATGGCGCCATAATGGGTTTATTTGACAGCTCCCCATTCACCTTCTTTGCGAGGTACACACCCTGTCGAGATGCCACAGCGGCCAGAGTGGGTAACGGAAGTTTCTCGTTCGCGGCACAGTCTCCAATGGCAAATACATCAGGAATGGGCGCCCCTTTCCGAAGGACACGCAAATGATCATCAATTGAGATGCGGCCACGGGATGTGCGGTCCACATCCAAGTCTTTCGTCAATGAGGAAGGACCGACACCGGTGCTCCAGACCACCAGTCCCGTACGAATCACAATGCCATCCTTTGTGACCACCTCCTTGTTATTGACCGCTACCACGGCTCCTTTCACGATCCGCACGCCAAGCGCATCCAGTCGGCGTTTTCCCCAATTTCGAACCCGCAGATCAAACATGCCAAATACCTCGCCCGCCTCAAGTACAGTAACCTTGCAGAATTCGACAAGTTTGTGGTTAATCTTGCGTACATCATCACGAAAAAAATCGGCCACAGTAGCAGCAAATTCGACACCTGTAGGACCTCCACCAACGACGACAACATGTAGCAGGCGCTTCGCCTCTTCCAAATCTGTGGTAGGCAAATCTGCCACCATGATGTTTTGAACGAGACGCTTTCGAATACCGCGGGCTTCATTCACCTCGCGAAGAAAGAAGGCATTGTCCATGACACCAGGTACGTTAAAGGTATTTGGTCGTGCGCCATGCGCCAAGATCAGCTTATCGTATTTTATATTAAACGTTTGCACAGTCGCATTAAAATTGGTGTCAACGACTCCAACACCAACGCAGTTTACTTCCTTCTCATCAAAGTTGACACCATACACTACGCAGCGGTAGAAACGATTGGGTAATGTCGCGAGAGCAGGTTGAATGCGTGAAATGGGCTCGCATACCGCTCGAAATTCCAAAGTCCCTGTTGTGGTTTGGGGAAGAAGCGGAGTAAACACACAATGGTTCCGTACGGAAAGAACCTGCAGGTTTGCCAATTTGCAATTTAAATTCCTTGTGAAGTATGCACCGGCCCATCCAGTGCCAACCACCACGACATTCGGGCGGAGCACGGCGTGGGTGGGGCGTAACATTTTATCTTTTGCTTAAAGAGAGGGAACCTGTGTGTTTCGGTGTGTTTGTGGAGTCAACGACGACGACAAGCAAAGGCAAGGCCTATGACGTTTCTGTGGAAAATATTTACAAGACGGCTCTTAATCTGTTAAAAGCAAGTGGAACACACACAGACAGACCAAAGAATCGCAATTGAGTCACAAACAAACATGTACCGCGGCAGCACCAATGTCGCCGCCCAAAAACCCTGACCGGAGGGAAAGTGGGGGGAACCAAATATAAATAAACTTATACTTTTAATATATAACGGGATGTTGCCTCTCACATTGAAAACCATTTCAAGGAAAAACTCACAACCAGACATAGCAAGAGGGAAAGTGAAGTGATAAAGGCAAAAAAAAAAAAAAAAGAGAGAGAGAGAGAGAGAGAGAGAGAGCAAAAACATCAAAAGAAAAAATAATAAATAATAATGATAATAATAAGGAAACAAGATGAGGGCACAGAAAAACAACAACAACAACATAGAATTAATGGATTATGAACCATCACGGCACCCTCAAGACTTCCCAAAACTCCCCACTGCCCCTCCCCACACACACACGTCCGTCTGATCCTCCCTCCTCTCCCTTGTGCTGTCGTTTCTTTTCTCTGAGGAGTGCCTTTCACTCTACACCCACCCGCCCCCTCAGCTTTTTTTAATTTTTATCGCTTCTTTTTTTCATTTTTTTCCCTATCGGCTTCCCCCATCTTCTCTTCGGCGAGAAGGGGGAAAAAAGAAAAAAGAAAAAAAAAAAAACTCCCACCGCATTCAAAAGAAGAAAAGCCACAAGGAATACAAGAAATGAGAAACATGCGTTCTCATGTTTCCCCCCACTTGTATGTACAAAGAAGTAGGAGCCGTGGCAATATGCAAAACAAACAAAAGCTGGAGAAGAAGAAGAGAAAATAAGCCGGAACCTTCTTCCATTCCTGGTTTCTTGGCCTATTTCTTCCACTTCACTGTGCCCTGTGTGTTTTTATTCTTCCTAGTTGTTTTTCTTATGGCTTCGCACTTTTTTTTTTTTCCTATATTTAATTTGCCTCCACCCCGCGTCTCGATCGTTCTCCATGTCTCTTCCATATATATATATATATATATATATATATATAATTTCATTTTTATTTTCTTCCTTTCGTCCTGCGTTTCGTTCCCCTTTGTTTCCCCATACATATTCTGTAAATTCCATGTGAGAACGTCAAGACTCGGTATCAGTGCGTGACAAAACCCGGGGAATTCTCTTGGCTGCTTGTCTTACCGGGATATGCAACACTCCGCCTCTTAATCGATCGATTCCCACTCTGAGGCCAGTCACCCTCCTCTACCAACGCATCCACCGAGATGAGGTCTTCGTTGTGGTGCTGTGGCACGGGAATTTCACCGACGTTTTCGATACTCTGCTCGGAATGAATGCGGTAAATTGCCTCAGCAAGGAGCTTAGCAATAGATATAATTTTAATTTTGGAACACTTCTTTACACTCTCAACCTGCGGAAGACTGTCTGTTACAACGACTTCAACCAACGCCTCGCATGCGGTGATGCGATCGCACGCAGGGTCGGTGAGAATGCCGTGCGTGGCCCAGGCATGTACTTCCTTTGCTCCATTTTCTCTCAGCACTTCTGCCGCTTTGCACAAAGTCCCACCGGTGTCAATCATGTCGTCCACAATGATGCAGTCGCATCCATCCACTTCACCCACAAGCTGCATGCTGTCGACATGATTTGCTTCCACTCGCCGCTTAAGGATAGTGACAATACGACTCGCACCAAGGCGATCTCCCATGCGTCGTGCACGATTTACTGCGCCCGCATCTGGGGCAACAATAACAAGATTATTGAGGTTGAAGGCCTTCTTTTTTGCATATTCTGCAAACTCAGATGTGGCACTAAGATCAGCCACAGGACAACCATGAAAAAACCCCTGAATTTGACCACAATGCAGATCCATCGTGACAACACCATTTACGCCTAGCTCCGTGATCATACGTGCCACGGCAGATGCACTGATGGGAACGCGGGAAGTATGTTTACGGTCTTGACGAGCGTAGCCATAATGCGGAATGACCGCAAACACACGCCTTGCTGAGCTGAGTTTCAGAGTGTGAATAATGAGCAAAAGTTCCATCACGGCCTGATTCACGTTGATAACTGAATTGCCACAAGTAGGCTGAACCACAAATACATCGTCTCCACGTATAGACTCAAGAATCTTGACATTGATTTCACCGTTGGCAAAGGCTCCAACACGACATGATGTAACAGGGATACGAAGGGCTTGACAAACGCCTTCAGCTAGCTTGGGATTACTGTTGCCATTTACGACGCGAAGGTTTCCATTGCGGTTCGTAACACCATTCGAGAGGTATTGCTCACAGTATGACATGCGTGTGCAACACCCTCCCCACTTCTAGCCTTTCGTGTTTCTCAATTCTTTTATATATATCAAAAAAAAAAAAAAATGAAAATTCTCTTTCCGCTTACCAGGGCGGAATGCCCCAAGACGCAACACAACAGAATAGGACAGAAAAGAACAGGGTGGCGTGAAGCACGGGAGACACGCAAAAAAAAAAAAAAAAAAAAAACCGCGGCCTCTCTCTCCCTCTCTACAGGGAGAAAAAACAAACATATCCAAGAGGAAGATTCAACCGCATCCTCAGTCACTGTCCTCATGCTTCTCCCACACAGACCGATGAGAGTAAAAACAAAAATGGGTTGCACAATCAAAAGACCACAACGCAGAAAAAGAGCCAAAACAAAACGATGTCAATAAGACCAAGGCCAACTGCGATGCTTAAATCAATGTGTAAGCCCTTTCCTGTAGATGGAGGCGAGGAGTTCGTTTTGCAGCTCCGCGGGGGTGGTGGGTGCTGCTGTGGGTAAGCACCCGTTTTCCCAAAGTGTAAAGGCTCCCTTTAACAAGGGCTCCGCTGACCTTGACTGAAACGACTTCACCATCTCCTTCATGCTTTCAGGATCGAGGGGACCAAAAGAAACGCGTCGATCAACACGACCAGGTCTCAGGAGCGCATCTGGCGACGGCAGACGCGAGGCGTCATTGGCTGTTATAATAAGCAGCCTTCCCTCACTACTTGCGATGCCATCAATGGCGTTTAGTAGCGCGCTCAGCGACACACCAGAATCGCGTCCCTCACCAATCTCCCTGGGAAATTCATTCCGCAACGAGGAATGAACAGAATGTGCCTTGATGGCATTTTCTAGATCCTCAATGACAAGCAGACTTTTTGGTGGCACAGAATTTATAAGCCCAAGAAGTGATGCATCATCCAGGTCCTTGGACTGTAGGGAGAGAAGATAAATAGGGAGAGACAACTCGCTTGCCAATCCAAGAATAAAGCTTGTTTTCCCTGTCCCTGGGACTCCCTCAAAGAGGTATCCACGACGCCACGGGACACCAAGCGATATATACAGTTCCCTAGATCGAAGAAAAAGTTTTGTCTCGTCAACCACCGCAATCGTATCGCGGGGTAGGTAAAGTGTAGACAGTGGTCGCCGAAGCCGTTTCGAGAGGAGCTCCCACCTATTGCCCCAGCCATTTGGCAAGTAAAGGCGAACGGTGCCCTTTGATTGCTCTTCCCAAGAGGCCCGCACCTCCTTCATAAATTCATGCACCACATTCCTATCCCTTGAGAAGAAAACCAACTCCAGTATCTCATCTTCTCGGTCCAGGCGTGAAGATGATTTGTACTGTTTTGAATTGTCCATTGTTCGAGTGATCCAAAGTCGTGTGTTGCCAAATTTCATATAGTGACTCCCAAAACCAGGAACGAATTCACTTCCCGCAACAGACTCATCACGCCTACCCTCTTCTCCTGACATCTCATCACGAATAGAGATAGGCATGAGGGAGATGTTCCTCGCCCGTCTGCCCTGCGGTTGTCGTCCCATCCAATCCAGAATCATAGCAAATTCCTCTCGGGAAGAGCGAACCTCCAGCGTTAGAAAAAACATTTCCCTCATCTTCTTAACAAGATGCTCCTTTTGGGAATTAATGACTTCCCAGAGAGCCGTTAAAATCAAAATCATCAACGCCAATGAAGCGGCTTCACGGTTAAAAAAAGTCCCATGATGGGCACCGCTCGATACTGTGCCTGAATGAGAGCCATCTCCCGTGCCTCCCCCAGCAGAGACACGATTGCCATCCGGCGACAAGCGACGCCCTTTTCGACGGCGTCTTCCTCCTTCCTCTCCGTTTCGCTCTAGTGGCATCGAGGCGCTGCCAGGCGGGGTGTCTCTCTGGCGCCCACTCAAAACGGCAAAAAGACCCGTAGGTGATGTCAACAACGCCTGCGGATCGGGCAGCTCCAACGCGCGGCGAGAGTTCTGCAGCACGCTGCCACAGGAAGAAACATGAAACCGACGTGCAACCCCGGAAGAGAGACGCCGCCACATTATAATTGTTTCCCTCGCTACGTCTCCCTCCTTGTCTCTCAATCACGCGCATGTAAAGAGAGAGGTTCAAAGAAAAGGAAAAAAAAGTATATCTTTACTGAAACATTTTCTTAAACAATATTTTCATTATAACTCTTTTTTGACTACCTTACCCCTCACATTTTGAATTTCGTTTCGACCACCTCCTTTAGTTCTTCCTCACCCAAGCATAAACCTCCCTCCTTATTCTCTCTCACTCACAATCAAGTGCGCGCACACACACATGGAAATCGACCGTTGTTTTAGACCTCGATAATTTCGTACCCATCCTGAAGCTTCGCATGTGGAGAGCCATCGCCACAGTGTGCTATAACAGATCCAACCACCCATGCTGGTTCTCTGTCGACTTCGCAAATTTCTTTTATGTATCGCTCTGCTGTGCAAAGATCTCCAAATGCCACAAGTAACCCCCCGCTGGTTTCTGCTGAATAGCCTTTAAGCAGTTGATATTTATCAGACATAAGTTTCGATGCCTTTAAAGCCCCCTTGTAAATAGGAAGTGCCTCCAACAACAGGCACACTTCTTTCTCCTGCGCCACCGCAAGGTTGTGTGCGTGCCCAAGAATACCAAACCCCGTGACATCCGTAGCGCCATGAGCACCGTGCCTTCGCATCAACCTTGCCGCGTTGCGGTTCAAACGTTTCATACTATCTGTCGCGGCATTGTACAGTTCTTCCACCTCTTCCGTAGTCATTTTCCCCTGGATTGTTTCCAAATAAATGGGTGATGGTCGACGCACCCACTGCTTGAGATTCACAGCAACTTGGTTCCCAAGTGGTTTTGTCAGTACAAGCACGTCACCAATGCAAAGCCCGGTTGGTCTTACCATTTCAAGCTCCGTCACGACACTCGTTGCAACGCCGCCAATAAGAGGCCATGGATTCATGACGGTTTGGCCACCGGTCACGTCGGACCCTGCCAGACGGACTTGATCAACAAAACCCTTCATTATTTCTCGTGTCGATATCTCACGCTCCACCTCATCCATTTCTGTGCTTGCAGCCAACATCATCAGAACGGTATCACAACGATCAATCCCCATGCTATATAAATCAGAAAGGACGTTGGAAGCAGCAATTTGACCCTGTAAGTATGGATCCTCAACACTTGGAAAAAAGAAATCTGTGGTAGACACCATAAACAGGGGAGCTCCACGTTCATTCTTCTGTAAAAGCTGCACAACGCTGCAATCCATACCAACGTCTTTCTGCCCTGGCGTCGTGGAGACTGCACGAAGCAGAGCCAAAAGTTTGGGCTGCGGCAGTTTGCAGCTACAGCCCTTGAGACGTGTGTAATCGGTGAGCACAAACTCCGGTGGAAGGCCAACGTCAGTGGGATTGAAACGGGGCACTTTTGCTTCATTTTCATGGGACATTTTTTTGTTCATATTCCTTTTCTTCTACCCGACTGTTCTCGCTGGTGTGTTGCGTCTCAATTCCAACAAAGAAGAAGAGAGAGAAAGAGAGGGAAAACAAATGAAGACACCCCGCAAAAGTTCCAAAAAGAAAAGCTAAATGAATATTTATCACAAAGAAGAAGTCCGCAACCAAAAAAAAAAAAAAAAAAAAAAAAAACAGAATTTAGTTTGAGAAGTGTTCAGTCCTTTAGCAGGGCCTCCATGCAAGCCACCCATTGACCTCCGCCTTCGAATAGAAAAAAATCAGAGTTCATCCAAGAATGCCTGCACATCCTCGTCAAGTTGTTCCTCGCGCTCCCGCTTCTCTCCAGGTCTCGGCGCCCCACCATTATCCTTCTCAACAGAAGATACCCACGTGCGCGGATCATACCTACCCTCTATCTGAGCCATACGTCTCCTATTGTTCTCCCGGAACTCTTGCGCCTCGGGATCGTCGGATAAAATCCACTCAATGCGTTCCATCGCGTGTTGCAAGGCCTGCTCGTTAGGAGCCGTTATACGAGCATGCGGCTCCTCAAGCGCGATGCGTGCGGCGTTGGTACTGGTGTCCTTGAGTGTATTTGTAATGCCGCGCCCCGCAAGCACAATCTTGCACTTTGTTGTCTGTTCCAGCTCTTGGTGTACCAAGCCACGGGCGCCCAAAATGGCACCATAGGCACCATTGTCCATCTCCTCCTGTGAGAAGTAGCGCTTACGCACAATCTCCTTTGGTGCCGCCGGATGCGGTCCCATTTCGGCGTTTTGTCGGAGAATATTTGTCAGCTCATCCATCGCCTTTCGTCGCTTCTCTGCAACAATCTCGTCTGGTGTATTTGTTCGCTGTCCATCGCTGTTGTATTCCGGCTCCACAGGAATGTTTAGAAAATAATCCTCGCAGCGCTTCGTCTCAATGAAGCGATTGAGATCAATGGCGAGCACACGGAGAAGGAATGCCCTGAGGAATTGCCCCTCGTCGTAAAGAAGCAACTCTGGAGGAATGTAGTTGGGAATGAGCAGATTTGTGTACCGCTCTTTGCTCCAGCGCGAAGGCCTCGGTTTCGCCTCCATTCTTATTCTTAACAACTCGGCTCCAGAGATAAAAAAAACGCGCCAAGAAAACAATGGCACAACAATAAAACACGAGAAATATATATATATAAAGAGATCGAAAAATACAAAGTCAGAAATCATTTAAAAAAAAAAAAAAAAGGCAAAAACTCGGCCCGCACGACTGTTCCAAAAAAAAAAAAACCCTCTTTTCCCAATTAATTCTGCAGGACGAAAGCTGGATGTGTTTTTTTTTGTTTTTTTGATCCTCTTCTCCAGTCACTTTTTTGTGAAGTACACCGCGTTACCATCAACTGATTGAATTTGCAGCGACTCATGCAAACCTCCCAGCGCCCGTGATTGAATAAACTCATCCACCGCTTTTCGGCATCCATCCCAGTAGTTGTAATCATCCACCTGCACCACGCCTCCCTTTTTTACCACCGGCCACGCAAGTTCCAGGGCACACTTTGTTGACTCGTACCAATCCGCATCTAAATGCATCATAGCAATCCCCTCAGCGTGAATCTCCTTCACAACATCGGGCATGGTTTCCTGAAACATGCCTGGAACAACAACTAATTGTTTTTCCACATCAAAGTTTTTGGCGAGACGTCGAACATTATCTTGAAGGGCACTGCACGTCCCACTCCCCCAAGAAGTTGCTCCCGCAGGGGTACGGAGATCTTTCAAGATGTCAGACGTCGTGGGATCAGGCATACCATCAAAAGTATCCAAGGCGTATACCCTTCGTGAATGCCCACCGTAGTGTGCCGCCACTACTGCGAGCAGCACCACCGATCCCCCTCCAGCAACGCCGCATTCCATAAGAACACCCTTCTGATCTCTACAGCATACCTCTTTTGCCAAGCGATACAAACCATAAAGCCGTGTCCATGTAAGCATTGTGTGATCCAAAAGAGCATCACAAAGTAGAGCAAAGAGGGGTTCACGCTTAGTGACCTCCGCAGGAGGGAGAAGGGACGAACGAACCCTACCATTGATGTCGTACAATAGCATGCGAGCCGCGGTATTCTCAGGAAAGTAGCGCAACTCTTCTAGAAGAGCCTGTCGAGCGTGCAACGCATCATGCTCGCCTAACAAAAAACACAAGGCACGACAGTAGTCTACATCCTTGGCATTTTTCCGCAGACGCTTCGTTTCGTTCAGTTCCAAGAGAATCTCCTCGTGTTTCCCTGCTTTGATGGCAGCCATCACCCCGGCAACATTGCGGTGCCAGACAGACCTGCAAAACATTTTGCGCTTTATCTTCTTCACCACCGCAGCCCACTTCCCAAGAAGAAACCATCACAAACAACAACAACAAAAAAAAAACCCAAACAACGGAAATCAACAACAACAACAGAGAAAAATTAAATGACAGCGGAAGCCACGCCTCAAATGACCCCACCACAAATCCATAGATATCGCGGTTGAAATATTCAAAAACTGGATGAAAAAAAAAAAAAAAAAAAAAGATGGGTCGAGGGGACTATTGCAATTTTCTAACGCACTTGCATCACCGACCATCAAGAAGAGATACATATAAACATGTTTCTTCTTGTTCTACTCATATAACAAGCAAAATAAAAAACTCGAAATGACTGTAGAATTACCATAAAATAAAATTAGACAAGGACGCGCATGAAGATAAAGAGTGAAGAGAAGACGGGGGGACACGCAGAAGAAAAAAAAGAAGGCAAAATAAATCCCTTTTGTTTCGATTTCAAAAGTAGCCTACGCGTGCCTCCGAGGCTGAATCATCAGTGTGCAACTTGTCAAAAGACCCAATTCCCGCAGAGTCTTCGTGTCATCCGTGTATGTTACAGAAGGAAAGGACAAACGCACATCATATGCAGCTTTGAATCCCGGAACGGCTAACTGAAGTTCCCGCCGAAGATCTGCTATAGTGTTTTCTGGTGCCAAATGTAATGTAACCTTTTCTCCAGATGGAAATCGCACTAACACCGCAACGAGTCCCTTGATGCGATTTGGCGCTACAGCCGCTCCACCGCTCTTAAATCCAGTTTCTTCCATCTCTCCTACCAATTTTCTTTCAGCTTCAGAAACATGTCTCAAGGTGCCATTTCCGGTGGGACCACCAACAATTTGTGCAATCGCTTCTCGTAAATGGACGATCCGACCACTTCCTGTGATGCGGGTAGCCGGCAATCGTTTCAAAAACTCCTCTCGGGATACAGGCTGGCAGCTCTTACCTTCCTGTAAACTCCGAAGGTCCCTCACTTTACCAACACTCTTGTCACCAGCCGTACTCTTGGAGAAACAAACGGAGGTTTGGTCAATAATTTCAATGGGGAATCCGTCAGGAAATCGTTGCTTAAATTCATACGGATAAAAACCATCCGCAAGATCATTTAACACGGCGTCACATAATGGCCACCCAAATGGTCGAAAGGGGCCACCGTTAACACAAATACCATCTTGATACACAACAATACGCACCAGTTCATGCTCCTTTATCCCACCTTGCTTACCATTTGTGAAAACACCTCGAGAACCCACATGGTCCGAAAGAATCTTTGCATTTCTTTTGAGAATCTCCAAGGAAAAAGGTAAAGTAGAGGTATCAGTTGTTGTACAGGGGACCATCTTGCCTTCTGTGGTATCATTCTGCATACCTTTTTCACTGATTGGGCTTGTAATTGGCACCGGAATAGAAGAGAGCATTGGTGTCTTGTCCTCATAATCTCCCTCATACATTTCAAACGGCCGCGAAGTGGCAGTTATTGGTGACGGAGAATCCTTTCTTTTGGCATTGTCTGCGATCCCGTACACTCGCGAATTGGCACCTTTGTTTTTCGCCTTCTCTCTCCCTTTGTCCCCCACCCACTGCAGTCCATAGTCACTCAGAAAATTCCGCATCTCTCCCACTAGTTTTTCCAACTCTTCCTTATCGTCGTAGATCTCCACAATCATCGCCTCTACCTCTTCTCGCCTTGCCTTTTCATTTTTGTATTTTGCCTCTACGCACAAGAGTTTCTCGGTCTTCTCTTTTAATTCCATACGGTAGGCATTTTGTTGCGCCTCTAGAGTTTTCAGTCTTTTTGCCATGGCGCCTAAAAGATCTCCGTCGCCACTACAAACCTGATCGCGAAGGGTTGCCGGGTAGTTCCCTTCTTGGTTCGGCTGCTTGAACGGCACCACCCATTTGCTGGGCGACCGGCGATCATCGCGCGCAGGTGCGACGTCTCCGGTGATGTTGCGGACAACTTTTCGGCGCAACTCGCCGTCAAGAGCATCGGGCCTGAGGATGTTTGAAAGCGGCTGCGTCGTTGGAAGCCTGAACTTCAGCAAGGGCAATTCCACTTTCTTGTCGTCGCCCCCCATCTTCACATCCATCGACAGCCAAACCCACAATTGCGCCGTTGCCGAAGACACCAATAAAAAAAAAAAAGACACGGAAGCAACAGCACTAATCCCGCCTTCTCAAGAACCTAAAAAAAAGAAAAAAAAAAGTCAACAACAACAACAACAGTGAAACTCCATCCCCCCCCAAAAAAACGTGCGGGCCACCCACCCAAAAAAAAGGCAAAAAAAAACCCACTATCAAAAACAACAGCGCACTTTGTGTGTTATTTCAAACGACGATGCAAGGGATGGGATTCACCCCAAGACGTTCCATCTTTTGCTCCCATTCGCATACAACCGGAGATAATAAAACAATTTCATACAGGCACGACTGGCGCACCTCTGTGACAGTCCACTCCTGCAACGGGCTGCTTCCTCGCCCTCGCCGACAGTATAAACGAACCACAGTCTCCCACATTTCCCTTCCTGCTTCTACCCGCGTGTCTTCTTTTCTTTTTGTTTCCCCTTCAGCCGACGCATTCACCCGCCCCGTAACACAAACTCGATCGGTTGGATAAGTGAGCCCCCAGGCCCTTCGATTTGCATCCCAGTACGGCTGTGTTATGTGTTTTTTGTACTTTCCAATGACAGAAGTCCACTTGTCCAATGTGTTTCCGCGTCCCATCTTTTCGCCACTTCCACGGTATCGTTGCACCAATTTTTTAACGACCCGTGGCAATTCTGACGGGGAGACGTCATAGAGGGCTGCCACAGCAGTCCGGTTCACCTTTCGAATTAGACCATGCGGACAAAACAAGTACCATTCAGAGACCCCAGTAAGCGTCCCTTCGCCATCACCAAACACGCAGCCGTCCCTGTGGGTTAAGTCCAGCAGCCATTTCCAGATGGCCGCCCGCACCCGCCCCTGGTGAAACTTCATGTAACTTTTCTCAAGTGAGGCCACCATCTCTTGGGTTTGTGAACGGGGCAAGCGACAGTGCAACATTTGTCCTCCTTTTTCCTCCACGTCCGGTGAGTCACTGCCAAACACATTTCTTTCCACCACCGTCCAGTGGGAGGAAAGCTGTACAAGATAAGAGGGGGTTTGAAGGAATGCGCCGTCAGGTGCCTTCCGAAGTGCTTCAGCCGCCTGATCCTCCAAAACAACCACAGTGAACGAGTTGAGCCGCGTTGCAGCAGCAAAATAGAACGGAAAAAACAACTGGAACATGATAAAAAAACAAGCCAAAGGAAGAAATGACACCATTATTCGAGCGTCCCTCACCCGCCACACGTATTTCCTTTCTTCCCGCCTTACTTTTTTTATAAACGCAAAAAAAAAAAAAAAAAAGAATGGATGCAAATCGCCGAAAATAAATGCGCGCGGCATGGAAGGAAAGAAGAAGGAAGCATTTCAATGAAATGCTGGACGCGGTACTGCGGCTCCAGCTGCACTGAGGCAAGATGTAAGTATAGAAATGAAAAAAAACAAAAACAAAAACAAAAAAAAAAACATGGAGGCGAGCACAAACAGTTCAAATAAATAAAAAAAAAAAGTCAAATTTGGCAATTTACATTTTCCACGCGCACCACATCGCCAATTACATTTTACCAACAAAAACAAAAAAAAACAAAAAAAAAAAAAGATACATTTGCTTCATTTCCATTAAATCTCATCATATCCAAGCGTTATTTACATTTCAATGAGGGCATCTCAGCGTTTTGTCGTTCTGCCCATCAGCCCTTTCATCCACGCAGCGCACGAAATACCGCCGCTCCCGTCTCACTGTGCGTGTTTTGGGGCTAAAGGAGCAGAATAATCTTATGGGCCGCTGGCCGAATCCTGCAGTTTGTCAATAATATAAACCAAACAAGATAAGAAATGGATAAATGGAATAAGAGTGGGGATTCACCGCACCATCAAAGTCTAAAACCAAGTAAAAATATATTTACGTATATATATATATATATTACGGTAGTCATGACCGTGATCCGCTCACTCCATTCGGATTGGATACACAAATATAAATTATATATTATTTATTTATTACTTAAGAAGTGGAAGACTTTGGGGTCCTCCAGCCAAAAGAACCCGCCGCGATGCGGGAATCAAAAAAAAGGTTGATGGCAAAATAAAAATAAAAACTAAAATAATTAGAAGTCGTCTAGACGTTATTATTCCCTTGATTCCTTGAATCGCGGTCAACCAAAAAATCATAAATTAGGGGAAAATGGTCGTACAGAGTTCGCTTCATCAGGATATAAATATATATTAAATTAGATAGCCAGCTTGCCCCGCGATTATTCACTTCACAAGCTCCTTAAAAAAAAAAAAAAAAAACTCCTCAAAGCACAGTAATTAATTTTTAAAAATTATATTTGATTTTTCTGGGTGTCGCAACCCACCAACTCCACTGGTCACAAAAGAACTGACAAGCCCCAGAGCCCAAGCAAAGGCAACCATAACACTCCAACTAGCGGCCCAGTTAAAGAAACGTCACCAATATCCTGCCCCTTTGGTGGTTTCGCAAGACCTTGCGCGGACGGGTATAAATCTTTTTTCTTGTCTGACATTGGTGCATCGTGTGACGCCGTTCCTTTCCCCGAAGACGAACTCGTTTCTCTATCAACAGACACGTCCTGGGGAGGACGCGTCGCCTCTTTGGGAGAAGCAGTCTTTGAAGGCGGTTGCGCCTCTTTCTTCGTCTTCTCCATTGCTTCAACCTCAGTGGCACTGAAGCAGTGATCGTACCAAAGTACGTTCGTCACTGTCACATGGTTCTGTTCCTCTTTTTGGCCAGCCTGAATATTTCCAAAGAAGATATTTAAGACACTTTCACGTGACGCCGACGGTGTATCCTCATCGGGGTGAGTCGGAGCAGTGATCTCTTCTTCCAAGGTGAATGAAGGGCCTCCCTCCAAACTCCCCACACGTTGCCCATCAACGTAAGCCGAGCCTTCGCCTTTGTGCACCGTAATTACCACTCGGTAGGCTTTCCCCAGTTCCCAGGCAATTTTTTGTGGACCCTCTTCTTCTTTCTCCCCCATCTTCCAGCGCATCTGGTTGTCGTAAAAGAGCGTTAGACTTCTCTTGGAAATAATGTTCAAGCCAACCAGCGGGGTGATTCCTTGTGGAATCTTCTTGATGGTCACCGTCGCCACAAGAGTGAGTTCGTAATAACAATAAAAGCCCCTTACCCCAGCTAGCTTCGAATATTTTCCGCAAAGCAACCATACAATATTTGCGCCGCTCCCTGTCAGCTCAAAGCCATACTGAACCTTCTTTACTTCCCCGAAAACCCTGGCATCCACACCAAGGTACTCGTCATTCCAATGAGTGGCGTTGCCATTGTCAGAGAAAAAACCAACAAGCCCAATAGTTGGCAAATGACCGACGCAGACAGCACCTTCTGGTGCGCTCTTCCTAGCACTGGAGCTGCAAAGCGTTGAGACCCTTTCATCCACACTTTTCCAAGTTTGCAGCAGGGTCTTGATCCGCTGCATCTGCTCCGTGAGGTGCGTCAAAACAAGACTGTTCGAGCCTGTATTCACGCCATCCTTCGCGTAAAGGGCAAACAACTCACCCCTTGTATATAGCAAGGTGCTGAAGGTGTTGCTGATCGAAACTTCCACGGATATTGGCCCCACTTCATGAACTCGACTCCCGTCAGCGAGCCACAGATGAATTCTTCCGCGTGTTTTTTCCTTACGCAGCGGAATTGAAGTGTATAATATCACACTCTTTGTTTCGATGTTAGCAGTAATGAGGTCGTCAGAAGCACTGAAATCATCGAGCGCAGCCGCGTACTTCAAAAGATGGAAGGATGAGCGGACAGCACTCTTCCATGTCTTCCCCATGTCACTGGATTCGTAGACACTTCGCCCCCAATAGCTATATGCCTCAAACATGAGGACTTTCCCCTCCCACTCGAGGAGAATGGCATCTTTGCAATCCTCAGCAACAGCAGCCTTAGCAGGAAATTCCCAATTACTCCCATTGTCCTCGGAATAGATGACTGTGCAGATAGTTCGGTCTCCATAATCTAAACTGCTGGTTGCCACAAGAGGGAAGGCAAGAATCCTCTTTTCCCCAATCAAAATGCCTCTGGCCCCATGAGCACCATCCAGCTTCCTCCAATAATTCGCAGTCATCTGTGCTTCGAACTTTGTCTTCAAAGAGAGGGGCTCCGTCCATGAGACGTGTTTCCCTTTTCCGGTCCCCTTAACTTCACCAACAATTAACTCAGGATCCACTTCTGAGTTATACAATGAAGTGTATGAGGTTTCATTGCCGAAGTTGTTCTTTGACACAATAAGAAATATTTTATCATCCTTCGCCACAGCCTTGGTATCGTACAGCGAGGTAAAATGGCGCTCTTGTCCTCCTCGTTTAACCACAACCGCTGCACTCCAATCACCTTCATCCCCTACAGTGGGTTTTGCAAAATTGTTGTTGTCTCCATACATAGCGTGCCTTGACCAAGTGTCAGCATCACCATAATTCGAATAGGTGCTTTGGTAGTTAGCCTTTGCAATGACAACCATCAAACCATCCACATCAACAAGTGAATGGCCGTAGAATGACTTGACGGTTTCACCTGAAATGGGACTTTTATTCTTTTCTTCATCGGACAATGATGTTTTTCCTGGTGTAAAAAGTTCAACACTCTCTGACACACTTTCCTCGGCGCGAGCAGCTCCGCTGCCAAAGCACAACAGCAATAAGAGAATTGGTAGCGCCGTGGAAGTAAGTGCATGCCTAAACATGTTGTTCATCTCAAATCCTTCAAAGCAGACAGTGGCGATTAGCGCTTAGTCTCGGTTTTTTTATTTCTGCGCTTTCTTAAAAAACCGAAATGGAGAAAATCAAGAGTGGCAAAGTATTAGAAATTCTAATGGGAAACACAGCAGATCACTCACGCAAAAAGCCGGACAAACACACACACTCTCTCCAGGCAGCCCATATCATGTGGCATCACCGCACGGCAGCCTCATCGTGATGGGCAGCCCTGAAGCGGGGATGCGAAGAGTAATCCGGACGAACCTCCTTTCATCGTCGTTCTCTCGAGGTGCTCGGCTACAGGCGCGCCGGCGGTGCAATGATTATGACCGTCTCTTCCGCACTGCACCTCCTGCCACCCCATTGCGTTAAATTCGCCGTGTTCGCCGTTGCTCTCTCCACCGCCCCATGACCACGCCGGATCGGAGCGTCGCCAAAAGCTGCCCCAAAAGCCAACACACCGGACCCATGGTGCGTTCTGTGACCCTCCGCAGCACCTCCCAGGGGATGCTGGCGACAAAGTATACGCACGTGCGCTACGACCCGTCCCTCCGTGGCTATGGGATCTGGCTCCAACCACTTTTTGTTGTTGTTGTTTCTCGTGTTTTCTCAAATAAATTCGACGACCCGCACGCCGGCCCCCATCGTCGAGCACGTCCGTCCTGCTGAGTGGAGACGTGAAGGAGAGCCCCGGCCCCCGGAGAGGCAGCTGCAGCGGAGGGCGTGAAACACGACCCTGTCACGCCTCCGCCCCGGAATAGCGCCGTGGCTCATTAATCCATTGCTGCCGATAATCAGCACAATAACAAAACCATAAATCAACCAACCAAATAATCGATAAATAATGAGAAATGAGGAGGCGCCTGCCACCAGCATCGAAGTTACGTCGCATCTTCGAGGAGCTTCGTGCCTTCTCGCCGCGCAGAGGCACTGTTGGGGGGCAGAGCCTTTCCACCCCGAGAAGAAACTGCGCCAACCCTTTCGTGAGGCACAGCTTCCCCACTTCCCAAGTGTCCGCCTCATGTTTTGTCTAATTGCCGGCAGCGCCGGGCAGCGGAGTGGATGCGGACTTGTTTCATTGCACAACTCACGTTCGCCGGTTTTCACGATGTCTGGTTGATGCCCGTGGCGTGCCGTGCGGTGGTGGGTCAGTCCGGCATTGCTTTAGTGCTAAAAGCCACATGTTGGGCAGCGAAACTCCACCAGTGGTGATCCCATCGGGGTCTCGTCGGCGGGCGAATTGCGTTTGGCACCCGTTCCCGCGCGCCGCCAGCCGCCAACAATTCCCCCGCCCCCAAAGCAGTAAACCGCTCCATCCGTGCATGGACGCGTCTGTCGCCAACATGGCAGGAGCTGGCGAGGCTGCCCCAAGGCAAACGAGCTCCTTCTCCGGCAATTTGCGGGGTCGCTCCCGCCCCACTTTCGGTGCGTATGGCGGCACGTCTGCGGGATCGTGAGGACACGACGCTCAGGGACGCAATATGTTGAAAAAACAAGAGCTAATGTCAAAAGAGGGAATCCCCCGCACCGCCGCGCAGCATCATACGGAGGCCACACCATCCACACCCTCAGCTGCAGGCGTTCGGAGAAACGCGGCCTCCCTCATCCTCGTCTTCGCATCGTGCCTCAAGGCGGCGCTCTTCGTCTCGCGGCTTAAGGATACACCAATAGACTCACACCACTTGGAAAGGGCCTCCTGTTCTCCCGTTGGCGCCACTTCTTGGCCACACATTGGCCCCGCCGAACCCCGCTCCTCCGCAGCCCGCTGGTTCGGATACTGC